GAGGGTACCTGTTCGGTCTTTAGATAAAAGTGAATAAATCTAAATGCAACTTTTTTTTTTTTTTTTTAAATTATTAATTAATATTCATTAATAATTTAATTATTAATGAATATTAATTTAAAATTATTAATTAATATTCATTAATAATTTAATTATTAATGAATATTAATTACAAATTATTAATTAATATTCATTAATAATTTAATTATTAATGAATATTAATTAATAATTATTCATTAATAATTAAATTACTAATATTCAGCAAGGATGCATTAAATTGCAGTAAAGACATTTATAATGTTACAAAATATTTCTACTTAAAAAAAAATCTGTTCCTTTTAATCTTTCGATTCACCATGGAATCCTGGAAAAAAAAAAGTTATATCACAGTTTCAAAAATATTAATATTATTCAAAAAGTAGCACAATAGTTTTCAACACTGATTATTAGGAAAAAATGTTTATTGAGCATCATATCAGCATATTACAATATTTTCTGAAGGATCGTGTAACTCTGGAAGCTGAAGTAATGGCTGCATGAGCTGCAATGTGGACCACATTATGCACACGACTATAATCAAACCAACATTATGAGGCTATGAGCTCAACACTGCCACTGAATCATCTGCATTTCCTGTCTGATTGACTATGTCTCCACGCTGGTAGAACTGACTGCAAAACCACATGGGCATGGGGAGGTCGCTTCGGATTCAGTTTGCCCCTCAATCTGCATAACATTGTGAAGATTCTCATCTCTCCTCTGCAGCAGTGGCCGAGTGTCTGCCATTTAGGGGTTTAAAGCAATGGACCGAATGCAGAATCACTATAGTTCATCAAACAAGTCACCCAGAGTGAGAGACGCAAATGAGCTCTCTTTTGTGAGGGACATGAGGCTGAAGGTGGCTCTTCCACAGTTCAGCCGAGGTTTCTTTTCTGAAGAGAATTCTGAAAAGGTGGTACCCCCATACCAAGCTAATAGATGCATTTGGAAACAGGAAACAACATTTCACATGAATTTTTCATTCAGAGGGCGCAAAGGTGCCAAAAACCACAGGGATGATGGCAAGACAGGAGGAGATGGCATGCCAAAATACACAAAAGAAGAAGAATAAGAAAGGAGAAAATTATTATGACAGAACACAATGTTGAGAGGTATAATTACATATTGCTGCTTGCTGTCAGAGTTCATCTAAATTTCACAAGTTGCTTTTGTTCCACATGCACATAATAGCTTTCATGCTCTGTTGGACACTGCTAATGAAACCACACAAACAAACACAATTACAAATACCTTGACACTTGGAGACTTGGACAATGCAGCACATAAAGCAGAAATCTTTCCAAAAACAATTAAAACAACGGGAACAAAACATTAGAATGAATTATAATTGCATGTACATTTCTTAAATCGGAAGATTATGCACATTTCAAGCATCTTTCACATATCATAACCTCTAATACACTCGGTGGAAACAAGCAACAGAAACATGACGGGAAAAAGAGGGTGTCCAATTATCTGGAGAATTCGGATGTGAAAATGAGGAGGGGGAAGAAAAATCAAGGCACTTCTTAAACAAGTCATTTACTCTAAGGACATCCTCTCTACAGCACTACCGGATAAAATAATTAGGCATGCAATACTGTTAATGACTGCACACATCGACTGTAACTACACATCAGCCTGAAACCTGCTACAAAATAGGGGGCACTTTCCACAAATCTGCACAAAACAGCCCTGAAACTATTAAAAAACGATTTGTTTGTGTTGTTTTCTATGAACGGTCTGCAAAAGTAGGTGCTTAACATTTAGAAAACGTGAATTAATTTACCGGTAATATCAGTTTAACAGATTATGTCAAAATGTGACACTGTTGCACTATGCTAATTGATGGATAAAGTCAAGAAGATCAAGACCCATTTCAAGGTATAGGTCAAGATAGGTGGAATAAGGCGTGGGCGATAAAACGGTATCGATATTTATCGACGGTACACCTTCTTCGATAATGATATAAAAAATGTTTGATATAGCGCATGATATAGGCACGTACTATATGAGTGACGCAGACAGCACACACAAACACGAACATGAGTGTTGTGCCTGCCTGTGATGAGGAGATTGTGAATAAAAAAATGAATATTAGTCGAATTTAAAATAAACATTTGCATTTGAATGCAAAAATGCTACAATCGAATGTTTAGGTGTGCGTCAGGGAGCATCATCAGTGGCGCGCGAGATGCGGTGATGATGATGTAAGTGACGTTGTAGTTTAATGTTTTGTTAGTCT